TTGTTTTTTATTTGTTATTTTATAATACTTTGTTTATTTTTTTAATTTATATACACCCATATGTACATATATATGCTTCTGATCATTTTATTGTTATCATTTTGTTATCGCATCCTTCCTACCTTTGATCTTTCGTTTTGCTCATACATTTAATTAATATATTTAATATTCACTGATTAAAACATGCTTTGTCCATCATTGTTTTTTGATTCATTTGATTTATTGAAATGTTCTTTATTTTTTACTTCTTGTATCATTTGTTTCCTTTTGCTTACCGTTTTCTATTTTCATTTACTTTATTCGTTTAATTTATTTTATTTTACTTATAATACGCTAGCAGATAATGCTTTCTTTCTAACATGCTAATTAAATTATCCATTTTCGTTATGTATAGCACTAAATAATTAAGCTATTTCGTTATGTTATCATGCTATTCCAATCAATTGATTGGTAACCACTAATCTTTAAATCCCATCATTAGGTCATTTAATTCAGTTCGATGTATTGAAGATTAGATGAATTTTTGAGATAAAAATTTCATTTATTAGCAGAACAGTTGTGATACAATTTAACATATTTATTGATAATTCATTATATTAGTTGCATATCTGTTGAAAATTATTAAAAAGCTGAGGATATGATTATCACTTTATGGTACTGTTGATTCAGGCCAATGTCATCGTAGATGTTTGGATTCCGCTCTAGGATAGGCTATCAAAGTATCGAAGATGAAAATACTCCATCCCGAATATACTCTACTAACAGCGAACATACATTACTGATTCCCGAAAGAAGAGCACCGTAAGTTGTTCTCTTTTTTATGTTACTGTTTTTTATGAAAACATCAAACATAATTATATAATAATTAACTTTCTATGATCTGAATTTTTTTCGAATCGAAGGGAGATTTTAAACAGATCAAAATGCGAAATTGAAAAGAAATTGCAAAATTTATTACAAATATTGATCGTTAGCGGTATCGTTGTTACTTTGTCTAATTAAATATTCAATAAAATATGATTTAAATTTAGTTATCTTGAAGTTTGATTTGTACAGGGAAGATGATGTACCATCGGATATGTATAGTGGTCCACCATTGGAACATGATATCGCAACGAATGAAGTGGATGGAACTGCCGCATGCTATGCTGCTACAAGTTCTGGTGTTTTGTGGGATGGAGTGGAGAATTTAGACCAGGTACACCATATGAACATAAACACTAAAACAGCTAGATTTTTTTTTTCTTTTAAACAAACCATTTATATTATTTCTTTCACTCTTAATGTTTCGAAATTTCGAAGCTTAAAACATACCTGGAAAATATCATTCGCATCTTGACTTAAGACGTGTGGTCCAACATTTTAATCAGTAATAGTATAAGTCGTGGTTGATTTAAACAGAATTCAGGAAGGCATTATATGTTTCCTATATGCGACGTTCAGCTTACCGTCGCTATTAATAGACACTTTATATTGGATAATCCTTTGGATAGTACATTTGAAATGCTAAACACACCATTGTAAATATTGCTAATGATTACAAAACAGAAGTTCTACCTTTTCTAGTTAATTAATCGTCGATGATTTCATCTAAGGCTTACGATGTATTTAATTTTTTAT